CTCCTTTGCTCCCGGTGTCCCTGGTCTGCTGGAGATGGTCCCCAGCAGACCAGAGGCACCGGGAGCAAAGCCGCCAGGAGCGGAGGGGCTCCGGAGGGGGGGCAGCCCATGCGCGCCTGGGATCCCCCCGCCGCCGGCTTCCCCCGAGGCTTTCAAAGCCGCGGAGGGGCTCCGGCGGCGGGGCATCCGGCGTACAAGACGACCCCCGATTTTTGGGGGATGTTTTTTAACTTCAGAGGTCGTCTTGTACGCCGGAATATACGGTACATGCACATTTTATTTATTTATACTCCTCTCTTCCCTCCTTTTTTGACAGTACTCCTGGATCTTTTATTTAGTCCGGGTTGTATTTTTTCTGCAATAATCTTTCTAGATCTTTAGTTTTAAACAACTGCCATATATATCTGAAAAGTAATCTATGTATAAGACAATTTTAAAGTGAAATGTTGTGCAACTAGTGTTGGCATCAAAAACAGGTTCTAATATAGTTAAACTAAAACAAATGTACTGTGAAAGAAAATGGCTGATTTTTGAAGGAACTGAAACACAGAAAAACTGTATTATTTCTATTGCAGTAGTGTCTAAAAGCCCCAGCCAAAATCATGGTACCACTTTGTTAGCTGTACATAGCAAGAAGTAGTCCTTATTTGTACAGATACAGAATTAAAGATCCGTGTTTATTAAATTGGTAACAAAATATATTGCATTAAAAGTATGTCACATTTTTATTGTCAGAGTGCACTGGTATTTTTTTTTTTTCTAGAATAGTGTACATGGACTATGCTTGCTGTTAAGTAAAATAAAACTGTTCTGTCTGAAAATTTATCTGTTTTTTGCCTAGATGGTAAACCTATGTTACGCCAGGGTGACACAGGAGACTGGATTGGAACATTTCTAGGTCATAAAGGTGCTGTCTGGGGTGCCACTCTGAATAAGGATGCCACTAAAGCAGCTACAGCAGCTGCAGATTTTACAGCGTAAGTAATGATTAACATTGAAATTTCAACTGTTGTGATTTCATCTTGTGGTGGTGGTTTTTCTGAATTGTGGTTTTAAAACAATTGCTGTTTTATGTGTTTACCCTTTAATAAACCATTAGTTACAGATGTGTACCTGGAAAATTTAGAAACTGAGGGTTTGGGTATTTTATTCAAGTACAGTAATAGTAGTTAATTGTCATTATCAGCTGTCCCTTGACTTGAGGATGATGTCTGCCAGGGGAAAAAAGTAATTGACTGGACTTAAAATGACTGCAGAGTCCAATCTATGGCTTATAGGTTTTTCCACATGTGTAACAGGTGGTTGCTTGGAGAGACAGGGCACAACTGCTGACTGGAATACTACACAGTTTCTTTCCTTCTCTGCTGTTTCTCAGCCTCTTGAGCAGTGTAGTTCTCGAAAACAGGCTGAGGCTTGATACGTGATGCAACACCATTGCAGTCTGCTGCCATTGCAGCTCTTCCCAATTCGTGAGGTCAGTGCCTCTCCTCAGAGATACTTTCCAGGCATCATAGCATTTCCCATATCTCAGCAAGTACTCTTACCCACGACTATATTTAGAAAAGAGGAGTTGCTTTAGAAGACCCATATCAGTCATTCACACACAGTCTTCTAAAGCAGCCATAAAGAGGAGTGGGGAAAACTACTACATTGTAAATCAGAATCCGGACATCTGTCAATTAAAAACACCAATGAAGCAACTTTTGGCAGGATTCCCTGGCACAGCAGATCATTTGTTTGATCTCCACGTCAAGACTGGCTGCCTGGGAACGGTGGCTACCAAATAGTCAATATGTTATGTTCTAGGAGTTTATCACTGATGGCAACTTGTACTAGGACAGGCTGGTGTAGTAGCCACCTTAGTTTTCCCAATGTGTAGGAAAATTCCAAGGCCATGATTGGTGCATGAGAAAAGAAGGTAGATTGCAAGGATAACACAAATCTCAGCTGTGGTGTGTGCGAGGATATCACAAATCTCAGCATTCTCAAGTAGTAACAATCCTGCTGACATTGGTTTTAGAATTTAAGATGCTGCAAGTTGAAGAGCTGGTCATTCATGCAATGCGATAATCCCAGTTCTAAAAGAAAGATGGTCATGCATAAGAATAAAGATCATAGAAGGTTAGATGGGGTTGGGGAAAGGTTGGGGGCAGTAACAGCCCTGTTTAACACCAGTATAGATGATGAATGAATCTGTCTCCTGCCCATTACAGAAGTTGGTGGTGGTCATCCCATCATGAAGTAGCCTGAGAACGTAAGTGAGTTTTAATGAAAACTGAGCTTCACAGAACTTGCCATAATGCTCCATGATTGTTGGGATCAGAGACCTTCAGTTAATAAATGCCATAAAAATGGCTGGTGGCATTCTCTACAATTTTCATGGGTCTCTTGTGCAACAAAAATCATGATGGTGGCTTGAGACAGTCTGAAACCACATTGGGATTCTGAAAGGACGTATTTAGTAAGAGGTAGGAAATGGTTCAAAAAGATGTGAGCAAGGATCTTTCTGGCAATGAAGAGGAGGGCAATATCTTGGTAATTGCCTCATATTGACTTGCCTCCTTTCCAAAAAATGGTCACAATATTAGCATCCTTTAGGTTAGGTGGAATTTCCTCATTAATCCAAATTCTAACAAAAAGTTGATGAAATTTTTGCACAAGTTCTTTCACCAACATTGAAGACCTCCACAGTGATGCTATCTGGGGTTGGTGCTGTGTGTCTAGTCTGAGTAATGGCATATCAGACTTCCTTACAAGATTGGTGTGAGGGGAGGTCTCCAAGGGTTCTGTTACCGGATGCTGAGAAATAGATTCAGTGGTGGCAGCTGAGACTTCAGTTTTGCAGTTCAGTAGAATTTCGAACTGCTCCTTGCAGCATTGCTTATAGGCTGCATTGTCCTTAAGGAGGATCGAGCTGTCCTGAGATTTGCTTGGGAAAGCTTTTCCTTTCATGTAGATCAGCAAAGCTCAGGATTTCCCTGTCTATTTGTCTGTCACCACTAACTCTTGATGTTACACAGTCTCCTTTGAACTACAGCTTTAAGCTCATGTGAAGTCTCTCATTTTTGTAGTTTAGAAGGTTTATTTTACCAAGTGCAAAATGGCAGTCTCTATACTTTTGATGAATGCTAAGATTTCCTTTTTTAAATTAAACTACAGGCAGTCCCCGAGTTACGCGGATCCGACTTATGTCAGATCCGCAGTTACGAAGGGGGCGCGCTTGAGCTGTCCCCCTGCAGGCGTGCTCCGCGGCTTTGCTCCCCGTCTCCCTGCAGACCAGGGAGACGGGGAGCATCTTTTCTCGCCCCAGAGGACGGGGGCGGCGGACCCCTTCGTAACTGCGGATCTGACATAAGTCGGATCCGCGTAACTCGGGGACTGCCTGTAGTTTAATTTAAAAAAGGAAATCTTAGCATTCATCAAAAGTATAGAGACTGCCATTTTGCACTTGGTAAAATAAACCTTCTAAACTACAAAAATGAGAGTGCCATTAGTGCTGACTTTCCCCACCCCTTTCCCAATGGTGCTTCTCCAGCATTTGGGATGTCTTCTGACTCTTGCAGTTAAGTGACTCCTGAGTATAAATTTGTCCTCTATGTCTGTCAGTCATGACTACATTGAGAACACAGTAAAACTTCTTGTTTTCTTCATCAAGTGTAGGCATATACGCATTGATGACTATTGCATACTGGTGATTACTATGCTTAAGATAGAGACTTCAGGTTTTTAATACCTGTAGAGAGTTCTAAAAAAATGGCTAGCAATCTTGTTTTTGATGACAAAACAACCTCATGAGTATGCACCTCTTTAGCTAATTTTTCTTTTCAAAAGAAGGTTTAGCCAACTCCATCTCTGTTGGCCTTCAATGGCCAGACAGCTCTCATTTAGGGCAGTAATATTGCAAGCTATGACATCAAGTTCTTTAGCTGTGACGTCACTTCTTTCTTTCAGGATAGTCAGTGCTCAGGGACTCCATGAGAGAGTGCAAACATTCCAAGTGGTGAACTTCATTACTAGGCTTCATATGTTCTGACAGTAGTTAGTGAGTCATCTATGGGAGTGGAGAAGTTGAGACAGCTTATGTTTAGGGCATCTTTTCTCATCCCTTCTCCATTCATGGTGAGTAGCAGGAATTCTGTAAAGGATTTCTCAGTAGTAACCACAGTTGTTGAATTGTTCATCTGTCTCTCAAGTCCAAGCACAGGATGTCCAGCATACCACTTGCATGCAGATTTGTGACTAGGTACTCTGAGACCCCTCCTGTCCCCACCTCTGCTCATCCATTGCTGCTGGAGTACGTTAGGGGAAGTTAACAGCCTCAGCAGAGGCCTATGCATGAAGTATTTTATCATGGAGAAGCCAGTGCACAGGTGGCATTCTTGCAAAACTTGACGGAAAGGAACTCTGGACCCAGTGGCAGCGAAGTCAGTCAACTGGAGGCCTCAATCCTGCTGCAACCCTTACCCACTTTTGCAGCTTCAGAGAACTGACAATCCCTCAAAATGCTTTGTGAGAAACCTCTCCTCAGAACTGTATGCCAAGGGCGGTCCTACTATGAGTTCACAACTCCAAATGACACAGTTCTGAGAGTTATTGGGGGACCCAAGTCTTTCCACCACAACAAGGTAATGGTGCAAGGGGAGGAATGACAGTTAATGTCCATGTGGATTGCCTTGTTCTATGGATGGCCCATCCAAATAATTCAGGTATTCTTCATAATCCATAATGTTGCAATTATTTGGAATACCAAAGTTAATGATTTTGTTGCACCATTGCTAATTCTCTGCTTTTTAACACTCAATTTTTTCATTGTTCCTGGGTCAAACAGTAATACATATGACTTTCCCACCAAGATTCTACATAGCAGCATGTGTAACAAGGTATATTCTGAGTGACATTAACGTTAAGCGTTGAGTATTAGTTTTACAAAGACATAAGCAGAAGCTTCATGTACTGTGAGCAGTTAGCTTGACGTCATTGGGGCTCCTTGCAAAGTGGAAAGTTAAGTATGTAGGCATGTCTTTGTGAAAATGTGACTTTTATGTATGAGCACTTAGCCTATGTAGATCCAGGAATACTATACCAATCTAACTCTAAAAAGACACGTACTATTAATCTTGGACTGCTCTGGAAAAGCGGTATGGTGGCAGTGGGCTGGTAGTACAAAAGAATTAAGAAATGGATTTTAGTAAGGAAGAAAAATTCACAATCTAATCGTTTCCATTATTGAGTTTTAACTGTTTGGGAAACTCACTTTTATCCCAAATGTTTTATATGTAGGAATCACCAATCTATTGTGTTAGCAATAATGGTAGTTATCGGGGAAATGTCATTGTAACCAGAACATCCAACTTAGCTTGTAATTAAGTCAGTATTGGCGAATGAAACCACACTTTCTTGTTCTTTCTTGTATTTCAGCAAAGTTTGGGATGCTGTTTCAGGGGATGAACTGATCACATTGGCTCACAAACATATTGTAAAAAGTGTGGATTTTACAGAGGTATGAAAAATCTTTGTCTTGTCTGTTAGGAAGTAAAAACAGTTCAATGTAACCACTGTCCTTTCAGCTGTATTCTTATGCTTTATGCTTTCTCAGGGAGAGAATTGGGTAAAATCTTTTTCATTTCTAGGGAAGAACTAAATGTAATAGGGGTTTATTAGGCTACTAGAAGAGTGTTTTTGTAAGAATCATGATACATTTAATATTATAGTTTTTTAATAAAGCTCACTCACCGTAATTTCTAACTATTTCAGGACAGTAATTACCTACTGACAGGTGGACAAGATAAGCTGTTGCGTATTTATGACTTGAGCAAGCCAGAAGCAGGTTAGTCTACTTTTTATATCCTACTTATGCATTCATTTTGCAGAATTGCACACAGTTCAGTTGATTGTTCCTTTGAAAATATTCAGGTCTGTTCTATTTCATGAATTATACTTAGAAATCAAGATTTGAAATTCTATTCTTAATGATAGTTATTGATAGGATTTCAGATCTAAATTACTGTTTTGGGGACATGCTGAAAATTTCTAGCATCCTTCAGATTGCTTTGCTGCTTATTTATTCTACTGTCAGCACTAGCTTGATTTGAAATTTCTTATTTTTAAAGTGAGCTAAAAAGTGTACAGCAATTTAAACTGTTTGATATATTTCATCAGTAGAAAGCATGGGTACCTTACATTTGTGCTCACAAGGTACCTGCCTCAGTATGTTTGCCTGGACTCTGTACTTGCATCGTGCTTTTACCTGCAAAGACATGTGAGCTTGTTTAACACCAGCTACTGTTGAAATATTCATAGTATTTCTAGAGTAGGAGCTTGTGTACACAATGTTCACTGGTTCAGTTTAAATGGATTTTTAAACCGAGTTAATTTGAAACTATGCAAAATCCTGTGTGGACGCTTATTTTGGTTTGAGTGGCTCATTTCATTTTGGTTTATACATGTTCTTAATTCACTTGTTCTCAGCTGGAGTCAGAGTTTGCATTTCTTTAACTGAGTGCATTTAAATTAATACATGAAGTTAAATTGGTGCAACTTCCTTGTGTGGACAAGCACTAAGAAGCAGGTAATCTGTTTGGTCTGTGTTGTTCACTCCTGGAATTACTTCAGGTAAAAAATAAAATACAGTCCAAACAACTCCGTAGCATTTTCATCCTAATGCCATTTATTGATTTCTGAAAACTGGTAATTATTTATAGTGACTTATAAACCAGATGAAATGGTTGTTCATTGATTTGTAGTAAGATTTTTTTTCATCTCTTGTTTATTCCTTATACTACTATGCTTGCTTCAATCTTAAGAACCTCAGATGATCAGTGGACATACTTCTGGTATTAAAAAAGCTTTATGGAGCAGTGATGACAAACAGATCCTTTCAGCTGATGATAAAACTGTCCGGTAAGAAACACTGATTTTCAGACTTTTTAAAAAAATGTTATATCTGAATATACTTGTATTCAAGTACCATAGGCTTTTGAGTCTATAATATCAAAAACCATAGTTTTATTTAGAACTCAGATTCATTCTGCAATTTAAGTATATAAACTTCAATTGTCAGTGGCTGATTTGTGGTATGTAAGATCCCTGATTTTCCTGATTTTTATGTACTGTGTGGGGTTGTCTTATATTGCTCATTATTAATGCCCTACTCTAGAGGGGTATATCACTGAGATAAAAATAGTTAATCACGTTATTTTATCAAATACTCTGTCACTACGTTTCATTATGCCAATTGATTAATTTAAGATTGTCACTGCCATCTGTTAGGCTCTCTTTTTTTTTTTTGTGGTGGTGGTCTCGGAGTCCACGTGGAGGCTCTGTCCCTTTAAAACTGGCAACAGGGGTTGGGGGGCTTCTGCTGAGAGAGGCAAGCGGGACTGGCTGCCGCTGCTCTGTCCCTTTCAGCATGCAGAATGGCAGCGTTGGGGCTGTCCTGAGACCTGGCAGGGGGCATCTTTGCGCACCGGCTCCTCCTCTGTCCCGTTAAGAGTGCAGAGCGGCAGCCAGGAGTTGTGCTGAGACCCAGCGTGAGCCGGAAGTGAGCGCTTTAGGTGCCCTTCCTTAATGACTAGTCGAGTAGTTGATGGAAATTCCATCGACTACTTGACTAAAAAATTAATCGCTACTTAACATCCCTAGATTAAGACTGAGCATACCATGCAATCCAGAATGATTATAGAACCTACTTAGTTTTTTGTTTAGGAGGGCTTTGTAACCCAAAGCCTTATATTGATGTGAATGAAAGTAATTTGGTTTATTCGAGTAATTTTAAGTGTCTTTGTTCTACAGCCTCTGGGACCGGACCACTGCAACTGAAATAAAGGCAATAAATGTTGCAATGTCTGTGAGCAGCATGGAGTATGTTCCTGAGGGGGAGATACTGGTGATAACCTATGGGAGGACTATTGCTTTTCATAGTGCAGACACGTGAGTTTCAAACATGAAATCTTCAGAAGTTTAAAGAGGACTAGAGAACATATGAGAATGGTAACAGGTGACACTGGGGCTGTATGTATGGGAAAGGGTCTTAATCTGGTACACTAATCTGGCACCAATACTTCCCATTCCATCCCTTTCTTCTTTTTCCTACCTTTGTTTTCCCCCAATAAAGGGGAATAGACATTCACCTTTAGTTGGCCCTTTATCAATCTAGCTGAAATAGTACTTGAAAATGATTACTGGGTAACTTTGTTCACAGGTCTCCATCCAGTTTTTATTGCACAAAGGGTGTATCACTCAACTACCTCAGTTTGTGACTGGCATCTTTTTGGGGAATGGTGGTAAGAGAGTCAAAGGTCTGACTGAGCTTGGGGAATCCAGTACTCAGTCAGCTCTAGAATTAGACTTACTAGCACATGAATCTCAACTAATGGACATGTAAAATTGCCACTGCTATACATGGGTTTTGTAGTATTTAAAAATGATGTTGCTGAGAATTACTGTTTGTATTTGCTTCTCTATATGATGTCTCAGTTAGGATCTGGGCCCTGTTGTGTACAAACACATAGGAAGATACACTCCCTGCCCTGTGGAGCTTACAGTTTAAGAAGCCCTTTTGCTAAATGACAACTTTCCTGCAAATTATTCATTAGCTCAAGATTAGGCCTCTTGTTCTTGAGGAAATCTAGTAAATACGTTAAGGTACCAAAGACCAAGAGCTTACAATATAAAGTTAGACAAAACAGTTTGGAGAAAAGGGAAGAACAAGGGTAGGCAAGAATATGATTTTGTTTGGCTATACATGTATCATCATGCAGCAAATGTTGATTTTTGTATAACTTAAACCAAAAGGAGTTTTATGTTTAACATGATTAACTTGAAAGTAAAAATCTGAAGTTGTAATGCACTGCAGATAGCCCATGCAGGAGAATTGTTGCCTAAAATAAGTGATGCATTGGTCACAAAATCTTATGGTGCACTATCTTGTCTTTAGTTCAGTGCAATGCAAATTTACCATCTTATGGCTTACACTGGAAATAGCATATTTAAGAACTAACTGATTTATTGGAACATCACATTGTTCTAGAAAGACAAGCTTACAGTGATTATATATGTTTTTAAAAACATTTTAAATAGCATTAAAACTTTTTTCCTAGTCTGGAGCAGATTAAATCATTTGAAGCTCCTGCTACAGTCAACTCTGCATCCCTTCACCCTGAGAAAGAATGTCTTGTAGCTGGTGGTGAAGACTTTAAACTTTATAAGTATGATTATAATACAGGAGAAGAGCTAGGTAAGTTTTCATTGGTAAAATTGATTTTTTCACAATATCTTGTGATTACATTTTAAACTGAGTGCAAGTTAAGTTGACTTAGCTCTGTCATTATTTCAGAACACATTTTTTACGTATTTAAAGAAATGCTGTTAACTTTAACTAGTCTAAAAAATAAAGCATGCAATCTCCTGCACCAAAAAACCTAGCATAACACTTTCAGAAAGCCTGGAGTAAGCAGGGGTCAACTCCAATTGAAATCTGAGAGTCAGATTCCATGTTCATGTAAATGATAGTGTAAATTGAACGAGATGTCAAGTGGTATGGCATTCACCTGATGGGCACCCCCGATAATTGTGTCTTATTTGTTGGCATGCTTTCTTTATACAAGGAGTGAAATGGATGTTTTTTCTGGTCCCAACTAGCGATTGGCTATTAACTTAACAGTTTTTAATTCGGTAGTATATTTTAAAAGGCACCAAAATTCAAGTTCACTTGGGTGCAGTTATAGTTTGTACTCGTTTATCTGAGAAGATACACATGCAACCTTCTGAGAAACTGTTGTATTTAAAAATTCAGCAGTAATTTTTTAGTTCTCTTTGTTGCTTAAGATTTTAAATTTAACACTGTGCCAAAACTATTTCTTATAGAATCTTGCAAAGGGCACTTTGGTCCCATTCACTGTGTGAGATTTAGTCCAGATGGAGAGTTGTATGCTAGTGGCTCCGAGGATGGAACGTTAAGACTGTGGCAGACAACAGTAGGAAAAACATACGGTCTTTGGAAATGTGTAATTCCTGGTAAGAACTTTGTGTGTATTTTGGGTAAAACTAAATTGCATCATAACTTGTCAAAATCCTTTATACAGATAGTTGCTGGTGAAAAGTCAGACGTGCCAGAGTTGCATGCATAGTGACTTCTTTCCTTTACCAATCTCTGTCAGGCTGTTTCACTTTAATTTGAAACAGGGAGGTTTTTTATTTTAGCAACTACAAATTTAATCTATTTAAGACCAATAATATAATTTAATAAATGCTTCAGTAAATTTTCTAAGCGAAATAATCTTATGGAGAATTTTTTCCCCTTTGATATAGAAATGTAAAACAAGACTCATAATTTCAGTAATTTAAACAAGGGCAAGATAATAGAAATATGTTTGCATAATTAGAGAAGCAAAGAGTGGTATTATAATATTGAGGGAATTTTAAAAATAAAGTTGATAATAAAATGAGCAATAAAAAGTCTAGTCGGATGCAGAACACATCTCCAGTAGAAGGGAGGGTTGGCAAACACTTCCCATTATTACTCAACAAAGGTTTAAAAGAAACTGGTTTGTCACTTAAAAATAACAGTTGAGATCATCAGTCAATCAAGTTTGTGGTGAATGGAGATTAGGATTAACAAAATTGGAAGATATGTTTTTGTCTTTCACAGAAGAGGAAGGTGGAGAGCTGGCAAAACCAAGGGTCAGTCTTCCAGGAACTGCAGAAGAGGAACTAGGTGATGTATTGATAACTATATACTTCAATTACACCTAATAATTTCAGAACTAATTCCAGGGGCTTAATCTGTATAATATTTCCTTTAGAATTTAGGGATACTGTGTCAACTCTTTGCTGACAATTTTTCATATTTCACAAGATCCCTGAAACTAGTTTCCTGAGAGTGTGCAAATAGCTACACTTTTTTAAAAAAAACCAAGAAACTAACAAAGTATAGCCTAATGAGTAAAAAAAACTGTGTAATCTTGCAAACTATTTTAAAGGGATGTGTTGAAAAAATTGGGAAAAGGTTAATTTTAAAAATGGATCAAGGTTCGGGTATGGTGGTTATTTTATTCTGTGTCTAAGGTGAAGTTTGAAAATAATTTTTGTATTTTTAACCACAGAAGACCTTGCTTCTGAAAATTCAGATTCCATCTACAGCTCAACTCCTGAAGTTAAGGCTTGACCATCACAGCTGTTACTCCACAAATGGACATACAGACTAAACCAAGCAAACAGTGATAAGCAGCAGCCTTCCAGAGTACGCTCTCTACATAAGGCAAAGATGGGCAGTAATTGATGAGAATGCGTTGGAGCTGGCTAGGTGGTATCCATAAAAGAACTGAGTATTGAAAAAGACAAGTAGTAGAGTTCTGCTATATTTCAGCGTAGCCGCCTACTGTCTTTTTGAATGAAGTGTGCAAGCCAAGATCCAGTCTTTCCAATTTCAATTAGACTTAATTGTAGTGTCTTTATTATGGAGGAAATATGTAATGGCTTTTACCAATATTTGTTCTGAAAGTTGGAAAATTTGGCATCCTATCTAAAGAAGGGATTATGTGCTAAAGTATTTGGTTCAGATTTTCTGTTTCATTGTACACTGCTTCTGAACATGTTTTCAGTTGTCTAAATAAAATGCCTTGACAACAGACTCCTATTTTAATGTTAATATTGGGTTCGTGGAATAGAAAAGGAATACTTATAGCCTAATTCTTACTAGTATCCATTTATTTTTTAGTATTTTACAAAGAGGGGAAAAAACATTTTTTTTCATATTAAAGTCTCTGAAATAGTGGTTGACAGGTACCCTGCTTCACAAATCTTGTATCTTTTATTCTTTATACTTTGTTAAAGTGAATCTTGAAAATATCACTTTTTTGGAACACCTGAAATATATACTCCAGAAATGGTTTCAGAAACTGACCGTATTCCTCTAGAGTGGATATATACAGAGCATGCATTTAGTCATCCAAACTGGTTTAAAAAGTAGTGGTTTTTCCTTCAATATAAACTATATTTTTCTTCATTAAAGCAACGTTATGGCCATACTTAAATTTGTAATGTCACTTTATTTAATATTGTTTAGTTTTTTTCATTTGTGTAGTGCATGTGTGTGCAGTAGCCTGATAGCCACAACTTTCTTCCTTTCTGAGAGGTAGTAAAGACGACATTTATCAAATAACAGGGCTTCAAGGAAAATAGCTATTGGCAAATCAGTCTTCTTGCTGTTATGATCTGCTACATAAATTAAGTGAACCAAAATGTGTATTCAATGGCACTGGAATGAGAATTTTAAACCTTTTTCTGTACCTCTGGTATTGAGACTTGGATTTTTTAAAAAAATACCAGCAGGGCTCCTTGCCAAGAAACGTTGTTGTAGCTTTATTGTCCTTGTTAAGATTTAAAGGCAATTTTTAAAAAGAAAACAGAGTGCAGTTAACTTTTATAAATCCACTTGAACCCTTAGGTCAAATATAGTATGACTCAGTGTTTTGTCTTCCATATGGTACAGTAGTAGTAACTGTCAAATGTAATTATATTAAAACTATCTAACCCTACTTTAATTACTTTTGTAAAACCTATGTTAATGCTTCATTGGAGTGGAGTGGAGGGGAAATGAGGTACAGAGACTTGTCCAAAGCTACATTGAGTTAATGGTAGGGCTGGAAATAAGATGCTGGCACTGGAGTCTGTTAGCACAGGTTGAACCTCTCTAGTCTGGCACCCTTGGGACCTGACTGGTGCCAAACCAGAGAATTTGCCGGACCATGGGAGGTCAATATTATCTAGTAGCATTACCAACACTTCCACTGCTTATTGTGTTCTTAAACATTTAGGATTATACTAGGGGACTGCACCTCCTGCTCGCTATACTTGCCAACCCACACCCTCCTATGGCTGCTATACTCACTAACCCTCTCCCATGGCTGCTACGCCCTACTACTAGCCTGCTCCTGCACCCTCCCTCCTGGACAGACTCTGCACCCCCATCCTCTCCTGCACCCCACCTCCTGTCCAGATTCTGCACCCCCATCACTATTTTACTCACTGGCAGAGACGGGGGTTGGGTGTGTGCATGAAGGGGAGGAAGAAGGCTGCATGGCTGAGTGGAACACAGATGATGTGACTGTTATGTGGCAGGAAAATTTTTATATAATATATATGAGAGAAATTTTATTGCTGTCAGTGGCAGGTTTTGTTAAATTTTAGGAGAGAGAGACTGATGCGGACTTGGATCGCTATTTGGGAACTGCGTAAAGAGCTTGAAAAAAGTAAACTAAGATTGGCTTGGGAAAGCAGGTGTGAGCTAGTCTGGAGAGCAACAGGTTGCCTAATTACAACTTGCCAACCTTGTATTCCTTTCTGTCTAGTGTATGCTAGCACCCAGTGTTGGTAAGAGGTGTGGGAGGATGCGAGGGCATGCTCCAAGACTGGGTGCTGGTGCAGACTGGAGCCAAGCTGGGCTAGCAGGAAGCAGTGGAGGAGGTAGGTAGCTAGTATCTGTTAGCATCCCACCGCAGTTGGGGATACAGCCACACTGGCATGGAGCTCTGTTGGTGCCCTGGAAGGTTTGTCTTCTGCTAGCCCACTGCAGTGTGGCCCCCAAGCGCTGTGGCCAGGCCTGGGCCGCACAGAGCAAAACTGAGCAGCAGGCATGTGGGCTATGCCAGGGGTGCATGGGGATGGAGCTGCCCCTCCCCCCCATTTCACAGATCAATCACATGGTCAAGGCTCCTGAGGTGGCTGAGGATGGAGGCGGATGGTGGCATGAGGATGTGATAGAGAGAAGGAAAAAAGATATATTTTAGAGCTAAACAACAGCTCTGAGTTACTAAAGTGGCTGTAAACCAGCTTTATGGGACAATAGGAAACTTGGCCATACTCATGTTAAGTGGACATATGGCTAACTAAAACCATGCCAGGCCACTAACTGAAATTTAGTTTGTAAAATGAAAGCTAGTACACCTTGAAGTTTGTGCTGAGAAGTACATAGTTGCTTTTTTGTGTAATTTTTAAATTAGCATTTTCCTAATATCTTAAAATACCATCTGAAGTATGAGCTGTACCACAATCTTGTAGCTCTGACTCTTGTTTCCTTTCAGGGAATGTTTACACAGCAACATCAACAGTTTGTGTCTACACAGCAGGCAGTTATTTCGAAACAATGTCAAAATACTGTGAAGCAGAAGGACTTCTTACTCCAACTCCCGTAACCCTCATTGTAGGAGCAGTAAGGGAAGTCTGAGGAAGAGTGCTCTGTTTCGAAACAAGTGTTGGGTAGAGGCTCCCTCTTTCGAAATAAGATATGCAATTGATATAGCTCAATTTGTGTAGCTTATCTGGAGGTAAGCCCTGCTGGGTAGAGACACCCTGAGTGGCCAACAGAACTGAGATTTTGCAAGGTCCAGCGGTGGAATAAAGGCCTGGGGCCGGAACAGCTAAATTTGTACATACACTGCAAATAGCTGTGATTTATTATGAGAAAGCAGCATCTTGCTGAAGCTAGATTTCCCCTGCTTTATACACTAAGGAAACTCTGTGGCAGGAATTGTGTATAGTCAGAACTAAAGTTTGGAGAACTGCAGGAGCTCAGGTAGTGATGGCTATGTAAAAAAAATGTTCTAGTTCTATGTTTAATTAAAGTTCCTAAGCCCTATACTCTACCTTTCCCTAAAGCAGGCATGTCCAAAGTTCGGCCCGCGGGCCAATTGCGGCCCGTGTTCCGGTTTAATACGGCCCCACAGGGAATTTGGCAATATCTATCTTTTATGGCCCCCAACGAATCCATATGCATTGAGATGAATACATTATAAAATCTCAGTTAATGTCAGTTGGTCTAAATCAGTTATAAATATATTTGGACACAACATGTATACTTGGTGTTATGTTCCTGTTCATATTTTTTTAACTTAAAAGTTGACAGACAACCTTTATTACCAATAATATGTAATGTACTTTACAATGTTCCTGACATATATTTCAGCTTCCTGGATTTTTTTTTCATCTGGCCTTCAGATATGAAAGGCAGAGTGATTTAACACCTGTTTAGATTTGTCATCCATGTGACGAAATGAAAAGTATGCCGTTTGCAATCAACTTTGCATAAAATAGTTAATTTGCATTTAATTTTAATGGTTCAAAGAATGTCAGGCAAAATGGTCGGTCCTCACGCATGTTCACTTCATCAAATCTGGCCCTCTTTGAAAAAAGTTTGGACACCCCTGCCCTAAAGGAAGGGTGAGGGGATGTTGCCCTTACTAGAACAAATGGTTCCTGCTTAAGCAGGCGCTAGCCGTCCTAACTAGCAGACAGCAATTCGCTGTTTCACAAGATGAGGGAGCCGGTCAGCATGTTCTGATGGAAGAACGCGAGGTCTGATCGCAGAGTGCGGCGGGTGCCCCCGGAGGCCGATGCTGCAATATACGCTGTGGGGAGAGGCACCGGCTGCCTCCCATGCGCACGGTATCGCACTAGTGCACAAGGGGCGAGGGGGGGCGCTGAGGCCCGTCCCTGACTGCAGGCAGTGGTGCAAGGGCGGGCTAGTACTGCGGTGTGCGAGGCGCTCCAGCTCCGCAGAGTGTGATTTGAGTGCGTGTGGCTGGGGGAAACGCCGCTAAGCTGCAGCAGGCAAGCGCGGAGCGAGTTGCACCAAGTCCCTCCCGCCTGGGTGGGAGAGCGAATGAGCAGCCTGGCCCGGCTTGCGGGAGAGGTAGCGGAGGGGGGGCAGGGGCGTAGCCAGGAAGTGCCGCGCTCAGCCTGCTCCTTTGGCCCGAGGGCAGCCGGGGGCCTGAGTCTGGGCCGGCTGCTGCAGCTGCTGATCATGTCGGCTAGAAACCCGGGCACAGAGCTGGGTAAGGGACAGCAGCTCGCCCCCCGCCCCCGCAGCCGGCGCGTGTAGTGGAAGGTGGGCTGGGGGCATGCAGTGTGTCCGGGCACGGGTGAGAGAGCCCAGGGGTTGCCCAACATTCAGGGGGCAGCTCTGCCCCCTGCCCCGTAGTGGAGGTGAAGCTGTCAACAACCCAGGGGGGCTCCGAGGATCTCACCCAACCCAAATCCTGCCCAAGCCTTCAGGGAAGGGATGTGTCTGCAGAAACAATCATGAGATTCCTTGTTAAAGCAGCGAGGAGTCCTGTGGCACCTTATAGACTAACTGAAGCGTATCACTGAAGTGTATAGACTTCAGTTAGTCTAGAAGGTGCCACAGGACTCCTCGCTGCTTTTGCAGATTCAGACTAACACGGCTACCCCTCTGATACGAGATTCCTTGTTGGTTCCTATGCACCCTGCCCTTGGACTGCCTCTGTAGAGAGGTTAACATTAAGCCCAGCTGTGCCCCAACAACATATGTGAAACTCTCTACAACTGTTAGTGTCAAGGTGGGAACCTGTCAGTTTCCACAAAACTTCTATCAGGAAGGATAGAGAAAGGGGGATGGCTCTTTAGCGGGGTAGTTAAGGTACTGGCCTTAGGGTACGCCTACGTTTCTAGTTTCACTTCTGTGAAACTGTATGAAAGTTTTTTCTTTTTCTCCCAAAGCTGGAAAGTTGTGATACTATGGAATGGCCATCTTTGGGTCAGTTTATCTGTCTGAACTGTTACTTGCTTACAATGTATATGATGAATTCTCCTGCTGGTGCACTTGTCTGGGAGGAGATCAGTTTTTAAAGTATTTTTTGTATTGTATACAGTTGTTAAATGAGTAGCTTTTATGAGCAGGTTTCAGCCTGTGGGACCATTCAAGATTTTGATTATTAAATTAAGCTCTGGGTTTTGGAAACAGCTCATTGCAAGTCAGCATTCATTTAACAATAAATATATATTTAGTTATGGAGAAAAGCTTAATAATGTGACCCCAGCTGTGATCAGCTTAAAGGCTACAGAACAAGGAAAATAAGAATAACCCATTTATGGTTTATTAGTTTTTAAACATGATGTGGGGGGCCCTGACTCAGGATATCTGAAGTTGTGTGGTTGGCAATAGTAAGAAAAACTGACCATCCCTGGATTATAAACCAGATTTAGAATCATCCCCTTCTTTCTTCCCCTTCATACTACTTTATTGGTCTCTGTGAAGAGTTGCTCTCTTGGACTTTTGTTCACACTTTCTCTCTTCCCCTTCATACTTCTTTATTGGTCTCTGTGACGAGTTGCTCTCTTGGACTTTTGTTCACACAAATACTTATGGACAGCAAATTTTGGGCCTAGTGCCCAGATTTGTTTAACCAAGAAAATAATTGGTTTCAGAAGAAAGAAGTTTATAAAAGAAAGGTCAGCCATTCTGTAAAAAAAAAGAAAAAAAATACCACATGGTATAGAGACTAATCACTAAGTTCAAAGAGCAAATTCCAAATCAAAACGTTGAATGGTCCAATAGCTACTCATGGTTCATAAAACTACTCATTTAACAAATGAGACAAGTAATAGTCAAATATATTAGAATTTTAATATATTACTCCATTTGATTTCTTCTCTTCTATTCTATGTAAACAAGTGTCACTTGTGCATCTAAAATGTCTTATAAAAAGCCAAGATTATAGCTCATGTATCTTCTCCATGAGAAAGTAAGACTGGTGCCCTCAACTCATGCCATGGCACGTATCATATAATCACAACTACTTGTTTTTAAAGTTACAGACTAACAGGGCTCCCCCCTCTGAGTCTGTTTATTGTAATTTTCCTATTCCTTATTTTCTGTAAAATAAAACATTGAAAATAATCATTAATTTCTTCTTTTTCCTTCCACTCTCCCATAATATCAGAAGAAGGTAGTTACTTGATTAAAAGCAGGTGCAGTTAGAACAGAAAAAAGGAAGTATTTCGCTACAGAATAAAGTCCCTCTCTGAACTAAGAGCAGGTGCGGTTAGAACAGAAAAAGGGAAGTATTTCGCTACAGAATAAAGTCCCTCTCTGAAATTTGCTTGCCACAAAAGTCCTGTACTGAAGACAGATTTTGTAAAGGACTAGAGGATTTTACAATCTACACCATTTATAGTTTACTTAGGGATGTGACTGATTAATTGGTAAGCATCACCCTTACCGAGTGATGCTTACCGGTTATCATTAACTGATGGGGGCTGGAGCAGTGGTGGGCAGAGAGTTGTTGGGGGAGTGATCCAGCCTAACCACAGCAGGTGCAGATCCACGTCAGCTATGCTGGAGTGGATTTAACCAATTAACTGATTAAACAGGATTTTACAACCCCAATGCATACTGAGATTGGGGAATAAATCTCCTATATTTATGTATTGACCGATTGTCACAGGCAATAGGAAGGAAGGAATCTTCCCTCTCCTCACACTGCTTACAAAGATAGTTTGACCAGGTGCTTAGTCTGTGTGTTTTCCCAATTTCTGTAGACATCAGTGGATGTCAAAGTGCTTTACAAAGGATGTAAATACCATTTTATTGGCTTAATGGTTAAACTGAAGCACCCTCAGACTACTGGAAACTCGATAGTGGATTGGATAGACCATTGGTCTGATTTGGTGTGGTACAGGTTACATCTGTATCAGATGAATAAAATAGACTTTTGCTGGAAAGTGTTTTCCCTGGAGGAATGACTTTTTAAATATATGTCTCTAGCGTTCCCCTCTTCCTTCATTTGGTTTCGCTATAGGGTTAGCAAATTGATGTACAGTATTCCATCTGGAAGTTTATCATAGTCCTCCCAGAGGAATTTTCATGTGAGGAAACCACGTCAGAGGAAGAAGGGACATCCTATAACAGAGGTTACAAGCAGAAGATAAAAAGAAGAATGCTTAAAACCAGAGACATAGCTCGTCTGTGTAGAGCCTGACTTGCATCTAGAAATCAAGTTTTTCATAAACTTTAATCAGTGGGAACTATGATTCCACACCTTTCACAAATATGCCACTTAAGTGCCTTATGTGCAGACTTGCAGGATGCGGGGTGAGAGATCCTGCAGAAAATAAGTGGCAAATTTGATTTGAACTCAGGAAACCTGGCTACTAATCCTGCACTCATACTATCATTCTCTGCCTTTGAGAACCAGTAATCATTGTAATTCCTAGAACAAAGTGCATTCTTAGATGTTAAACAAAACATCACTCATTTTCCTTAGCCCAGAAATTTGAGAGTGGAAGAAGGAAGGGTGGATGGATTTTTCTGCCAAGAATATAAATCTATATATTGTAATAGTTGGCATTTCTGAGCCATTTCCATGTGTTCTGATGGAGTGGGGAGGTTGAACTGAGGGGTGGGGAGAGGCACTGAGGAACAGGATTAATTAATTCCAAAGTGCTGATGGATGACAGAACAAGGAATAAGGATCTCAAGTTGCAGTGGGGGAGGTCTAGGTTGCATATGAGGAAAAACTATTTCACTAGGAGGGTGGTGAAGCACTGGAATGGGTTACCTAGGGAGGTGGTGGAATCTCTATTCTTAGAGGTTTTTAAGTCATGGCTTGACAAAGCCCTTGTTGTGATGATTTTGTTTTGATCGGTCCTGCTTTTAGCAAGGGATTGGACTCGATGACCCCCTGAGGTACTTTCCAACCCTATAATTCTATGAATTTCTGGACGGGGTCATGGGCAGAGGTGGGTGTGAAAGATCCTGATGCAAAGGCCATAATGACCTTATGGGAGAGAGGGTACCACTGATTGTCTGATATATATTGGGGAGGTGGAGGAGGAGTTCAGTCAAGGGGCAGACTGCAAAAAACCAATGTCATCTTTTTTTGAAATCATGATTATTTGGGCCAACTCAGGATTTTTGAGCTATTGAGATTGGCAATGCTGTCTCTTGTGCTCTCAGTGCTCCCCCTGTTGGCATCAAGTCAGCTTGGTCAAATAAGAAGATATAAGGTAGCTGGAATGTGGAAGTGGGAGGATGGGCAAAGGGGGAGGATGACAACATTTAGAGTTGGGTGACAGGGATGGGGCAAGAGCTTGTGAGAGGATAGGAAAGGAGGTGGGGGCAGAAAGAAAGGAAGTTGATTCTTGCATTAATTCAGGTATTTCCTAACTTTTAGGTGATCGACTGCAACCTTACCATTTGTTCAGTGTAATTTTATTTAGGTTCTCATTCCCATTTCCTGATCTGATTCTTTTCATGTGTGAAACTCATGTTTCTTTATGCATTCAGGGAATTGGGGCTCCACACTGCCCAAGGTTGTTACTCCACCTACACTGTTCTCCTCACTTCTAGGATAAAGAAAGAAAATACTTGTAAAAATACTCTTAAGTTGTGTTGGTGGATAATTTTTAATTAGTGTGTTTGTTTAAAAATGGCCTTTCTGGGAAAAAACAAACCAACAAAAAACTTTGCAGGTTCAATAGTGTGTGTGTGTGTGTGTGTGTGTGTGTGTGTGTGTGTGTGTGTGTGTGTGTGTGTAAACTGTGATGCAATCACAATAGGTCAGTGAAGTAATCAGGCATGGAGGGGCTACCTCCCCAACCAACCCAGACTACCTTCGAGCACCTGGGCCAGGCCAGGAAAAAATAATAAGGAACTATCAAAGCAAATGGATTCAGCTTGAAATGGGGGGGAAAAAAAAGTCAGATTTTGAGGACCTAAAAATGGAAGTGGGCCCTACTTTCAGGGGAGTCGACAGCCATGCTGGGCCTTGGGGCAAGGAGGGGGGCAGTTCTGTGCTCTTGGAAGACGCGGGGCCTCAGGTGGGGCCAGGGCAGTCAACCCTCAGTGCTCCCTGGAGAATGCCATGCCAGCCTCCCTCAGTCCTCAGACTCACCTGGAGTATGGTGCCCCTCCCCAGCCCTCAGCGCTCATGTGTTGCTCTGGTGGCAATTTAAAGGGACCGTGGCTCTGGTCGCTGCCCTTTTCAATCACGGGGCCCCAAAGCAGTTGCTTCCTTTGCTCCCTGCTAAGAGA